CGTACGTCGTCTCTCTCTCTCTCTCTCTCTCTCTCTCTCTCTCTCTCTCTCTCTCTCTCTCTCTCTCTCTTCCTGCACGCGGTCGCTTTTATTGCGATATTTCGTTCGCTCCTACGCATAAAAATCATCGACCTGTAATGGGAAAGTATGTGAAGACGTTATTTTCCTCGCGAACATCATCTCCGCGGAATTACGTAATTCACGTGATTAATGATTCCCGTGATCAACAATATCCGCAACGGTTTCCAGAAATTATCTAGATGCAACACAATATTAGCTAAAAATAAAAGTATTAAATTTTTCTGTAATACACAATTTAGTTATATTAAAATGCCGTTCGCGATCTCAAAGAAGAATTTGCAATTTTTCTCCTCTCAGAACTATATTATCATCAGAAACTATAGTATCCTCTCGGAACTATAAATATTAAGGAAAATATTTAAGTCTCTTATGAACTATTTTTATATCGCTCATAAACAAGCCATTAATTTTTTCGACATTTCGAATATACTGTGAACAATCGTAACAGTTGCACAATAGGAGTTGCGTTTCCAATACAATTACAAAAAAAAAGAGCTAACACGATTCAATGTTGTTTTCAGGATCTGTCGTACAAGGATAAGCACTGGCATGAGGCCTGCTTCCTCTGCAACAGGTGCAGAGTATCCTTGGTGGACAAACAGTTCGGTAGCAAGTTGGACAAGATCTATTGCGGCAACTGCTACGATGCCCAATTCGCCAGCCGTTGCGATGGATGCGGCGAGATCTTCCGTGCTGGTACGTAACATTTTAATACCATATCCAACACCAAATTTTTCTTTAAAATAAAAAAGATTCTTAAAATGTCCCGAGACTTCGAACTAGATGCTCTTTCGAGCGCAAATACGCTCACACGTTCATGATTTATTTATATCTGACGCGAATATTACGATTATGTCTGATTTATTTATATCTGACACGAATATTACGTTTATAGCTATTTATAATATATACGCGTGAGTAACGAGAAATGTCTAAGAATGTCGCTTTTATTTTATTGACTTTGTCAAACGATGCAGAAAGAATCATTGAAATTTCATGAAATTTTGAAAGCACTTAAATGTGCTATATATACAAAATTTGATTAAAATTGAAAGAAAAAAGGATTTTTTTTATGTACCTATAGTTACTATAATCGTTTCTTTTCTCGCGTTTCGAACGAAAACTAGAAATGAGGAGTTAGAACGTAATGTTCCTGAAATTCATGTTCATGAAATTGGTTACGGGTTTTACGACGCCTTAGTACATCCTACGTAATTTACTGCATCGTAAATTTTTCAATAAATTTATAAGACCGTTAGATTTTATGAATTGGATTATTATGAGATTGGAATTATGAGATTGGATAGATTTTCTAAAAATGATTAACGTATGTTTAAATGTAAAAATACGAAGAGACAAATAAGCCGATGTGCAGTGTAATCGACGCAAGCGATAAACGTAAATGATAAACGTTTCGATTAACCGGCAATCTCTCTCCGGATGATCACATCAGCGATTACATCATGAAACGTAAACGAACATGAGAAGAGTATAATTTACGAAGCGAGAGAGACAAATACGGAGTAACAGTCATGGTGAACAATGAAAGGTCGAAGTCAGAAACAAATCTCCTAATGATTTCCACCTACAATCACGTTAACACCTGTTCTTGATCGATCGCTGGCGAATCGTTTCCCGACAGTGATTCATGGCGTCAGGTACGAATGCGAACGATCGAAAGAGAAAGAGAGAACCGATAGATCTTGCATTCGGCGTTTCTTATTAAGGTAACTGAGTCAAGGCTCCAGCTCCAGACACGAGCCAATTATTGTGAGCCATTTTGAAACTGATAGCATGTCATTTTACGTCTAATTCGCCAGCAGCTCTCTAATGGCATTGAATCGTTCTGCATAAATATCTTAATTAAATTGCATCCACCTTTCTCTCGTGCTCCGAGATCTTGTCCGATTTCCTGAAATGGCTCTTTTCATAGATTAGTTCCGAAGTCAACAGTCCTTTTATGCAAAATTTTTTTCTAACTACAATTACTATTATTGTCTATGAGAATAAGCGCTCTCATCGTCAAGAGTAGGCGATGAGAATATTTATTTCATGAACTTTATTTAGATAATTTTATTTTTAATAATAATAATTTTATCTTCTAATTGTTTCTTACTTAAAAGTTTTTTTTTTTTTTAATTACACCTATTCCTCAAAAAAGAAAAAAGGAGCCATAACAAGAGTCAGATTTTCTGAAAATTTTAATGTGGTTAAAAGATGTAGAGCATACTATATATGCGATATCGAGCTTCGCAGCTTTCTTTAATTTCTACAATGGAAAGCAATTTGTGCCGTAAATTAATGGAGTTCATCGAAAGCCGACCTTTCTGGTGCCAATGCGAAATCGAAACACGCACGTAAGTGGGTCAACCGTGAAGATTAGTGGTCAACCGTGACGATTGACCTTTTTCGAGATAATCCGACGAAGGAAACCGGTCGTTATCCGGGATGATAATCGCTATATCCACTTTGTTTCTTAAACTTCGCTTAAAGTACACGCAACCTTCAGCCAGCAGATACCGCAAGACCGATGACCTATATTATAATACGGTTCATATTGTACACCGCGATTCATTCGAAAGATTACGAGATGTTTAAAAATTGCTACAAAGAGACACTCTCGGTTGAACAACGCAAATGTCGTTTTTACCCGAGATAGATATGACGTAATTTAAATATCTAAGCGTTCAAAGTAAGTGTTGACTTATGATCTTGATACTAATAAGATAAAAGAGAAATTCTCACCTTCTGAATAAATACAATTTAAATGTTTGAATATCCAAAAAAAAAAAAAGTGTAAAAAGCCAAAAGAGATGAGAGAAATATTTCTCTTTCTGAATTTGGAATAGGAGACTTTAAATCTCGCCGAAATTAAAAACTTTGACAGATTTCTGGAAATCGTCGCGAACTAAAATTCTCATTGATGTATTATTAATTGTTGAAACTTGTGATTTGCGGCGCTCTAATAATGCGATAATCTTCGCATACACTTATCATCAGGATATAGCTCGCGCTGCTCCCACAGCAAAGTCGTCCGTTAGGAATAATTTGCGTGACACATTGCGGAAGGTCGGACAACGTGAGAATTGGGACGATTTCCAATTTCGCTTCTGACAGATAAAAAGGATTAGCCGACGATCGGAGCCAATTGAGAGATTGTTGGCGCAAATGACTTGGTACCAGCATGTGTCCGTATACGGAACCCGACATTTCGTGAACTACGTATCAATCTCTGAAATCTCTAATAAATTTCGATTGGATTTCTGATATCGCAAACATGCAATCTGCCCGTCGGGAATTTTCCGTTTTCTCTATCTGTCTATTTCCATCGTGCTCTTCTTCGAAATGTCGATTGAGGAATAGATTGAAGACAGTTACTCGGGAACGCTTACGTGCGAAGTCACGAGGAGAAAATTTTCCAAACAACTAGCCAAAAGAAATTAATGATTAGATATAATCATTAATCATTTGATGTCTGCGGGAAGCACTCTTCATGATAAATCTTCAGGCCTCAATTTAACAAAATATAACAGTCCATGAATATTAACAATAAAAGACATCTATTTTCATATTAATGATGCGTACATTTCTATGTGCAAAATTTTATTTAAAAGGATGCTTTATTCTCTGAAACTACTTAAGAAATTGCTTTTAAGGAAAATATAAAATTTGCCAATGAGTTAGGCATCTTATGTGACGTCTTTCAATACAAATTTGATATTTATCATATCAAACCATCAGACTTTAATAGAATTATTATTATATAACATTTAAAAATGAATGAATGTTTCCTTAATAATAAATTACAATAGAGATCATTCACTATGTTTTTAACATTGAAAATTTAAAAAATTCTCTAACATATGTACCTTTATATTTAATCGTTTAAAATTTCAAAACTAGATCCATCTTTATATATGCGAAAAAGTTGATTTCTAATTAAACAAAAACCTAGAGTTAAAATTGAAATCGTGGCTCTGCGCAATTCTATATATAGTACAATATAGATAAGGTTCGCGTTAAGTAGATATAATTCCAATCCGCAGTTCCACGCAATATACGGAATCCTTGAAAAACTTGTAATGTGATTGCGATAGAAATATCCTAATCGAGAAGGAAGTGCGCAAGTCGCATTTGTTGAAAGATATTTAAATTATTTATGCATTCGAGCATAGCTTTGTGTATGTGTGAGACAGGTTACAGGCAGTGCGTTATAAAAATGTTACGTGGATTATTTAAATTCGTGTAATCTGAAAGACAGTGCCTTATGCAAATTTTTTTCCGGCTTAAAAAGCGAGAATTTGGCCAGAATCTGGGGGTCTCCACAGTGCGTCTTTTGATCAGCACGCTTCTCGACCGAAATCTGGAGGTGCGTGTCCAGATATAATCCGTGGGTACCAACCAGGGATGGTAGAATGCCTCTCTCTATATAACAGCTAAGTTATCACACGGTAACACACGTTGCGCCTGCTCGCAACGGTGACTCCAGCGAGAACCGAAGAGCGGTCTGCCTTCAGTGGCTCGCAAGACCTCGGCCCAATCGCACGCTCGATTCTCCACGTTCGATCATTCGGCACACCGGGTTACGGTTTTCTCTCTCCTTCCTTCCCACGCAATTTGTTTTGCACCTTTAATTAATCTCGATCTTGCGGTTACTCATCGGCAAAAAGACAAATTAATCTTGTAGAGCGGAATAGAAATGACAATTTGAATAAATTAGTTAAAAACAAGAAGTTTAATTTCAAACGTTTCAGTTAAAAATAATCATAATTAACTCACGACTGTCGTTTCGAGTTGTCATCAACCATGATCGCGGCTCAGATCCAATCGCAGCCGTCGCAGAGCGCCGTGTAAAGAGGCGCGCGAAAGTTTTGTTTCGGAGAGTTTGCATCTCGCGTAAATTTCGCCGGTGAATGTACGCGTGTTTGTTTGCATAAACGTTTCGAGAGAAAGATTCAACTGTGAGGGGAAATATGGCCACCGACGCATTGAGCGAGCGGCTGTCAAGCAAGCTGCACCTGCAGACGAAGACCGTGGGCGAGGAGAGAATCAGGCGGGCGAAGGAGAAGGACGAGGATATCGCGATCTTCAGCATGTTCCCTATGGAGGGTGACCCTAAGTTCAGATGCTGCCTGGGCAAGGACTGCCTAGTTGGGGATCCCAAGAAAGCGGACCCAGGTGACGATCGCGATGATCGTTCGTCTTAGATCGTGTTAATATAAATTAGTATATTTATAAAAAATTAATATGATAAAATATTAATTTATTTGGCTATTTGGCAGACATTCTTACATTGAGTTTGTAATAAGAAAAAAATCAGGAAGGATTAAAATGATGATGATTAGAGATAATAATTTTTTTCTGATCAAAATGAAAAGCACTCGACAAAGTTGTTTCATTCTCAAGATAGCAACATGCTAAGTTTCTTAGGAATTTCATTTGAGTAACAAGAGTAGTTTTATATCATCGATGTTATTAAATGTGTTGCATGTAATTTCGTGTGACGCACTATCATAATGCAGTCACAAACTGATGCAAATATAAATGTTATCACACAAATATTTAAAAAAAAAGCATTAAAGATACATATTTTACAGAACTATTAAATCGAAAGATATAATATGGATATAATCAGATACATTTGACAATATATATCATCAGACATATCGAATTAAAATGGCACTTGTACACCATTA